ACACGGTTATAAAATATCTAAGGCAAACACGAATTATAAAATATCTTATACTTCACGCTGGCTAATGCACAACCCGTGCCAGAGCCATAAAAAAAAAAGGGTGCGTGTACTTATGTACGCGCGTAAGAAGTTATACTTCTTTGGCATTATTAAAAATAGTTTTTGATTGCATGCAAATAATTAATTACAATTAAATAATCAAAGACTGGAAAAGGAGTCATTATAGTCAATTAAGTTCAGTTTACATTTGAAAAATTAAATAAATAATTATTTATTATTATTCTCTTACATTAAGTGTAACATAAATTGTATTTAGTTAAAAGTATATATAATTATATATTTAGAACATCTCTACCAAACACTAAGAAGTATGTTGTAGCTTTGGCAGTATTGCACAATATCAAATTAATAAATTTCTTTGAAAAATTAATCAAAACTCCTTTATTTGTTTAAAAAGTAAATGACAAATGTCATTATGGTCATTCAAAATTCTTGGCATACGAACTTCACGCATATTCTATTTCTTTTTACTTGTAGATTGTCTTATTCCTATCTCGCTCGCGCACGCTATAATCACACTCCCAATTTTGTGTCACAGGTGCGCGCGCATCGTAAAATTTCACTCTCATAAATTTTTCATAACGCGCCTAAAGAAGTATAACTTCAAAAATAATAAAACATCTGACAATCTCGAGTTTTCTGCTCTCTTTCTCTCGCTACTTTCTCACGGGAAGTAAGGTGGCCTCATAATCGCTTCATTTTAATAATAAACGTATAATAAGATATTTCCACTCCATATGTAAAATGCACTTTGTCATTTAATATTTCAAAAAGGCTTTAAAATTGTGAATCAAAAGCGTCGCAAATGAATTATCGTACACAACCGGTAAACTAAAAAGCGATTTTTCAAAATAAAGTTAGAATCATTTGACATGTGTGAATGATTGGTTTAATCGTTAGATCTGCGTTGGAACGGATTCCGTGACAAAATTCAACGAATTTTAAATAGATTGCCATATAAAAGGTATTTGCTCACTGTTTGTCATTGCATCTGTTGTCTATATTACTATTGACAATAATGCTACATACAGTTTTAGAACATTAAAAATATCGGTTTATAAAAAATATGATTTATGAATAGTCTTTGATAAATCAAAGTTAACGCGAGGTGCTACTACAGATTAAAAAACTTCTTTAACTTCTACAAATACGAATGTATTACATTATTTACAAACAAAAAGTTCCACATAGACATAAGTATACATAAATAAATGTATATAACGACGAAATGTATATAACCTTGGAAAGGGTAACACGCTCAGCTATAGATCCATCATCACGAAATGGCGTTGATGAGGCGTCAGGTTACAGCGGTCTAGACGCAGCGATAGGAAAATTATACAACTCGGCAAGTGCTTTACACCAACCGTGATCACAATATAAAGCTTTTCTGACATTTCAGCTAATACTTGCTTCTAACCCAGCTTGTATACATTGATTTTTGAGGCTTATATGAGAACTAGCTGACCCGGCAAACGTTGTTTTGCCATGTATATTTTTTATAAGAAACATTTTTTTAGTTCAATAAAAATAACGATCTACTATTATAAAAAGTAGGGGATGATGGTAGAGGGGTGACAATTAAGGGTTGTATGTATTTTTGTATGCTGTATCATAAAAAAACAAAAGTGTTTTGTCTAAAAAATAAAAATAAAAATGTAGGTTTGGGACCACCTTTAACATTTAGGGGGATGAAAAATATATGTCGTCCGATTCTCAGACTTACTGAATTTTCATAAGAATCGGTCGAGCCATTTCGGAGGAGTATGGGAACGAACATTGTGACACGAGAATTTTATGTATGAGAATATACTAGTTCGCTGTATCGGGATACTAAACAAATACTGAATCGTGTGAAATAAAAACTGGTATAAAACTATTGTGAACCTGCCTTAACGTGTATTTGTTTTTAGAATCGATACGTATTTTAGTGTGCCAATCGCATGTTATTTAAAAGTTTTGACAGTTTACCTGAAACCACATTGGATATAATAAAAATTGTTCAAACCTAAAACTCAAATCTGTGTTGTTACAGTTCGAAATTTAAATTTCTAAATTCTTCAATAGGGTGTGTTTAATTGGGTTATGATTCTGTAGTGCATTTAGCTTAAAGGTTCAATTCCAGGCGTAGTATTTGTTTCAGTATCGTGTACAATCTAAAACCCAGAAATGTGGCAATCCCTAAGTGATTATGGCACTATGCCACTTCATATATACCTTTGTTTTTTTAATGAATATTAATTAAAATAGTTTTATGGACGGTCTTTTCCTTTCGCTAGAAATAACTAGTAATCAGCACACGTGTAACACAGTAAACAAAGAACAAGGCCAATTTAAAACTAACAACATCTGAGCACAAACTAGCAGCCTAAACTTTAATATAATTCCGATCCTTATTTCTATATTAAGTTTCGTACTACTATGTTATTTAAAACGACGACCCTCATTCAACTTCATGATTGTAAAATCGATACTTTGTTAGAGATTAATATCCTAATGATTAATAGCCTATAATTTAATTAGTAGCTGTGCATTGTTAATAAAGTGATTTTTTTTTTTCGTTTCAGAATTGCCAGAAAAACCGAAAATATTTGACGAGAGTGATAAAGAAATTGTTGGCGTCGCCGGCCCATACATCGAAGACACCAGTCTCAGACTTACCTGTGTTGTAAGTGGAGGTAAAACTAGCGGATATTTTTTGTTAACACAGTTAAAACGTCTTATACTTATTATTAATACTTTTTTTACATTTTCGCTAAATTATGAACCTTTATATAAAATAATGAAACGGATATTAGTTTTTTATCATTATTAAGCATTCTTTACACGTCTAGGAGAGACATAAATTCATAAAGCAGGTTCATAATACGTAATATAAAAGTTATTTTTAATAATAATTAAAATGGTGTAATAAAAACTTTGTAAAAGGCATTCAATTATACAATGAATTAACAAAATAGACAGAGTTTAAAACACGTAACCGCGAATAATATTTACTATTTTTTTTTTATTTCATAATATTTTGTGTAAGTATTTTGATAGATGTATACCTTTTTTGTTAAATAATTATATAAGTATAATCTTGATACTTACTTTTTTTTTATTTCATAATATTTTGTGTAAGTATTTTGATAGATGTATACCTTTTTTGTTAAATAATTATATTAGTATAATCTTAATCTTGAACTAAATATATAAACGTGATACACACCTATAATTTGATATTGTTGTACTTTAAACGAACCCATATAATTTATCAAAACTTTGAAAAGGTTTCGTGTCCATAATTCAGTACTAAAATGCGTGTCCTTAACCTAATTTATAAGAAAAAACAATGGAACGGTCAGTCAGCTACTATGCCATGTAAATAATCATTTTGTGATATCGCATTATATTTCAGGCCTAATTCGATAATTAATTATGCTGACTTAATTATATTGTTGTATTTTTTTAAATATTAATTGATTAATTACACTTAACAGTTATAATTAGTATCCTTAATTTTTTTCACATATAAGAAAACCAGAATGTTATCAAAGTAACAGTAGAATACACAACTAAAATAAACAGAAATACACTAACTACTGGTATCGACACATGAAAATATAAACAACAATTAAATAGTATTTATACAAATAAAAAACAATAATAATATAATAGATAGTTTTTATTTAACTACTTTTTCCTTATTTTTACTAATTCTCTAACATAGATCTTAAGAAACTATTGTTACTAACTCACTAATCAATCAATGGACTGTATTTGTCTGATTAATAAAAATTATTATTATATAATTAATAACAAAAAAAAGTGTCGCATGTCAGAAGTGAAACTTCTTTGGCAAACTAATTTTTAACTCTTGTTAATATTTATACAAATCTAAAACTTTAGATTTCCGAGACTTAGAGGGCTGGAAAAAGTTAGATATGTTAGGAATTTAATTAATTTAATTGTCATTAAAATATTAAAAGTGTCGAAAATTAATTTTTTACATTTATTCCTTCGATTATAAAAACACGTGGCATTTTAATTCACAATTCGTCATTTGAGAATTCAATAAATTATTTTGCATAAAATATAAATTACTAAAATAATATTTATATTATATTATTATTTATATATTTAATATAAAAATAATATTTCATCAATTCTCTTTACGAAATTTTAATTTTGAAAATAGATTTTCTATAATATTGTAATTCACTCTTCTCACTTTCTCTCAATCGGTCTCAATCAACAAAAACGCTGCTCATTTTCGTGACGTTCCGTAAAAATTTACCCTTATGCGCCTAAAGAAGTTTCACTTTAAAATTAAATGGCGCTTTAATTTTAACACTTTTTATATAAACAGTTCCATAATTCCTCTTAATTAAATATGATTTATGATAAATGCTATTAAGTCAAACTATACTATAAATAATTAATATTTTGATACAAAAGCGGTGATATGACAACCTTTGAACCTCTGAATGTCTTACGATATTAATTAGTATGGTAATTATATTTGCAAGTAATTTCGTCTTTCCCATCTGAAGTAATGATTCACTATCGAATTTCGGTTGTTGCGAACAAAACACACAGTACTTTATATACTAGTATTGTAGACAATATGAGGATAAACCGATATATGACCAAACAAGAAATCATTCTAACTCTAAGTAATTTTTAACAATATTAAATCTAGACTAGGTGCAAAAACGTGTGCTGCATTTGTTATTTGGAACTTCTTTGACGGCCCTCATAGCTCAACGCTACTCGCACCTACTGCTACTGAGTGGAATACCTTGTACTAGCTAAAAGTGTTGTATTACGCAGTGCGCGTTTATTCTACAGAGATTTAAATATGTTTACATCACGCGGGCGAAATTATTTAGTTTGTTTCATTGTATATTTCTCTTAGCAAGCATTAATCTCTGGTCTACAGTGGATTAAGTAATTTTATATACATATTTTCTAATTAATTATTAATTATCTCTTTAGTTTTTTAACACCACAAAAATTGGTTTATATCTAACTTAATTTACTACACAGAATATTCACTGTCAAAACTATAAACATAGAAACTATTAAACATTCGAAATTTATGTTAATTTTGTACCTTGTATTGTTCTCAATAATATATATTATATAAATAAATCGATATTCTACAAAGCGTTAAAAAATTACAATGATCTACGGAGAAAAAATGAAACACTCTGAACGCTGGCGGAATAAATAAATCAGATATCTGTCGATGTCTCATTAATAAGCATTGTATCTATGAGAGTCAATGTTTTTAAACCTAGATCAAAATACTTCTTAGGGCCTCTACTAGGTGATTTAACACTTTTAACTTTTTATTTAAATTCCGTTATTCGCATAGACTTTAGAAGTGAAATTTTCTCACACTGACCTTGAAGTTCCGCCTCGCAAGCATTACTACAATTTCTTTTGTCTTAATTCACCCTTTCAAGGTAGGATTGGCATTAATTTTGTTTCCAACTTTCTATACTGTCTTTAACGATTAAGAACTCGTAGTTAAAATATTACTAAGTACACATATTTTTTAGGTAAACCCATGCCACGCGTTCGCTGGTGGCGCGGGGACAAAATGGTGTCAAAACTGGATCCAATCGAAGATGGTTCTCTACTCAGTACATTAGAACTAAAGATACCAAAACTCAAAAGGGAGTACTTTGAGGCTGTGTACACATGCGCTGCTGATAATACTGCGCTGGTGCCGCCGTTGCGAGTCAATGTGCAGATCCAATTGTATCGTAAGTACATATTATATTTATTTTATTTTTTATAAGACACGCCTGTTTCCCAAAGGGTAGCAAGAGACTACTGAATACAAATACACACAGGTCTTTCTGGGTAAGACGATCTCTGAATTTAAAAAATAATACTTCAAAGACTGCAGTACCAGCCTTTTATGGGTGATTCTTTAACTTGCATAATAATTATTGCATGGTACATAACGTTCGTCAGTTATGAATGTTTTTAACCTGCCCTTTAGTTATTTTTTAACAACACATCTGTTTTACTTATTATATTTAATGATAGCAGGTGATCAGTTGATACTAACCCGAAACAATTACCTTTTTGTGTTTTTTAATACTAAACCACTTAAAAGTAAGCATGAGCAGCTATAATAATCATTTATTTATTTATAATGCTGCATGCATACATGCTGTATTACGCAGTAAGGAAATAAAATATACACGAAAATATTGTAATTGTTACGAATAAATTAAGAATACATGTTTTTGAAAAGTGAGTTATACAAACACAATATATTCATCGCTACCCAGTTATTATTGTTTTGATAAAGTGTTCGGCTCAATTGGTTTCGGATCGAGTATGTAAATTGTTTAATGGATAATTTATGTACCGAATAGTTGGGTTAAATTCTAGATAATTGTTTATGTTTAACATTAAAAATTAAATGCATTTGTTTTACGTTAAATGTACTAACATGTGTACTTACATAATCAGTTAATAAATAAAAACTATACTCGCATAGTTTTAATTAGTATAAAGATTTGATAAATAAGTAGTAAATCTTAAATTAACGAATGTTTTAGACGTAATTTTTTTGTAAACTTTTTGAAATAATCGCAAGGCATCGAAGTTGGGCCTATAGCTTAAGCTATATGCGTTAGCTACTAAGCCACGGCTTGCTGTTGAAACGTCCAAATCGATATAAATAAAGAAAGATTATATAACAATTCTACAAAGTAAATCTACATTTCTACATATAATTACTTCAAGTACCTAAACCAGGGGTTCATGTTAACAATGTGACATCTTCAGCTCTCTAACTTAACAGCTTACAAGCGTTGCCGGATTTCTAGTTCTGGTCGTAACAGGGCAAACAAATGACGATCACCCAGGGCACTTAATCGATTCTGGCTTTGTGGTTGTACTGATTTGCAATGCGATTGTAGTGGTAACTTGTGTTGTAAATTGATTAATGGAAAGATAACCAATCTAGTCTAGGCAAGCCAAATCATTTATATTAATTAGGCCTATTAAAAAGGCACTTTTGAAAGTCAAAATTAGAAGTTGCCCTTTCCAAAGTGTCATATGGAGAAGAATGGGCAAGAAACTCCATACTCTTTTAAAACAGATTTCACAATATTTTGTTAACATTAAATTTGATAATTAATTATTTTTGAAGACCATGTACCTATATCAAAAAGAAATACTATATCTACCAAAATAATAATGCAGCAGATAACTAAATTAATGTAGATACATGGTGCTCACATATTTACAAATATTGCTACTATAGATTTTACATTATTCTTTATAAAAAAAAAAAAAAAATTACATACAATCAGAGTGTGATACAGCTGTTCTTATAAAGAGCTCAAATGCGCTTAGATATTTTTAAAGCTCACGTTATAAGAACTGATGAACTTAATATTATACATTTTCTCAGACCATTATCAGCCTTGAATGTGCGTTCGAAACCCGACTGTGAACAAAGTTTTTATTTTATTTAGGAAGTCTAGACCCAAAACTATTTTTATTTGGCAAAGCTGACTTATTACCTATGCACCTATATACCACAGATATGAGTCTGCGTTGCGGTATAATGTGAGAAAGGCCCCGGAGCCTCTCAAACGCGGCCCAGACTCTGAATGCATATAGGAGTGGGTCGAGCCCACAGTCGTCATATATTTGGCATTTAATAGGAGTGTTTTCTAAATTATAGCTTTATTTATTTGAGACGAGAATGGAACAAAACACCCGTATCACCTCGACGTCCACCGTTCCACACCAGAGCGTTATTCAAGGCAGTTTTTGCCACGCACCACCACGTTGTGGAACCAGCTGCCCACTGAAGTATTTCCGAACCAATTCGACTTAGGGTCCTTCAAGAAAAGAGCGTACCAATTCTTAAAAGGCCGGCAACGCACTCGCGAGCCCTCTGGCATTGAGAGTGCCCATGGGCGATGGTATCACTTAACATCAGGTGAGCCTCCTGCCCGTTTGCCTCCTGTTCTATAAAAAAAACAAATTATATTTGCTCAATTTCAAACTAAAAGCTTTTAAATACATTGAAATGTTTGATACAAACTTTTGATTTATAACAACGTCCTGAAACCTGAATTATTAAATTACATAGTAGTAAAATATGATAAAGTTACAAACAATATATCACAGTTGAAATCAAATTGAGTTAGTTCATTATTTGTGACCTCAAACAATGAAATGTTGACACGAAGTTGAATACTTTAATTCATAAATCACGCTGACAATAAATTGTTGTATAAAAATGACGAAATAGACCAAATTGTATTTCGACATTATTGTTAGGTTTATTGACTTTAAATGCGTCATTTAACTGTTTCATTGGGTGATTAATTAATAAAAATTCTTTCTCGCAAAGATTCTTTGGTTTCCTAGGCTGTTACTTGTATAATAAATTAAATTAAAAAATTAGCATTTACCCACTATCTAAATATGAATGTAATGGTTACTACTTGGCTGAAGACGTTGAGTTATGATGAAACAGAAGATTTAATAACTGTTACTCTGTAACACACCCACTCCCCCACACATATACACACACCCACGCACACACACACTTTGAGAGAGAGAGAGACAAACACACACGCGCGCGCGCACACACATACACACACACACAAACACACACCAAATTTATTTTTAAGAGTCCGTTTGCAATGTTTTCTTTTAGCACTTAATACTTATTTTCTTCTATTGTATCCTATGACAATGACCTGATTGTACGTGTTCCGGTCCGGTGGTGGAGAGGCTGGCTATCTGTCACTCAGGTCTCCTGTTACAGAGACCAGTCTCTCACATACACTTCCTAATGTTGTCATTTTAATTTAATCATTATAACCTTTTATGTATATGTGAGAGAAGAAAAATAAAGATTATTATTATTATTAATCTGTTCGACTGCAAATCAGGAGATTCCTGATGGGTTGACATAAAAATGAAATTGTATTTTTACAAGAGATATATCTATTGAGGAAGTTAGGATGTTGGTGATGCTTAAACATTTCCTGGGGTAACTGTGTCTTCATCTGTCGGGCTTGCACTTTGCGACACTTGGGATATCCGTCCCAACGGGGCTTATAAACGTTAAGGAATAGAACGCATATATACCAGTTCTGTTAAAAAAAAAAGAGTGGCGGAGAGTTTATTGCCAGTTCTTCTCTTCCGTTCTAAGTCCTTGATTTGAGAACTGGCAGTAAACGTAAAATTTGAAGCATTTAATTTATGTTTCTTTTTTTTGACGTTCATAACTATAAATTGTGTTACCTACATGAAGAAATGATTTTTGATTTGATTTGTTTTTTTTTGTATTGATCGGTTATCCTCAATAAAGTTTAAATACGAAAAAGGACTACCAAGAACTTATGTACTGTCAAAGATGAGTATCCTGACGATAATAATATGTTTAGCGACGCGTACCTTTTTTATATTTCAATATTTATTACAAACAATTCCTGTTTAAGATATTTTTAAGAAAATTGAACTTTGTGTTCAATTGCTTGCGGAATATGCGTAAAATAAACTAATGACCAACTTATCTCCAAAAGTCCTTTGTAACATAACATTTGAATAATATAATTCCGTTGTTATCTTCACGAATGCTGTATAATTAATGCGCTGAACTATTTCATATACAGTACATTATCGTGACATGTCAAAGATCCCGTCCATTGACCTCTACCCGTCCTAATAACGGGGACTTGAATTATTGTTCTCAAAATTAGACAACCCAACGTTTACTCTAATTCCTTAAACAATTCGTTCCAGATATTATTGTGTATTAAATAAAGCCTCCTATTATGAACACAGACTAAAGCAATCATCTAATTTAAGACTGAAGTCACTGAGTTTTCATACCTAATCTCTTATACCACCAGAGTTTCATCATCGGACGTCAAGGCAAAATACAAAATACCATCCGTATCACCTCGACGTCCGTCGTTCGACAACTGAGCGTTTTCTAAGGCAGTTTTAGCCGCGCACCACCACTATCTGGAACCAGCTGCCCACTGAAGTATTTCCGAACCAATTCGACTTAGGGTCCTTCAAGAAAAGAGCGTACCAATTAAGGCCCACTTGCGAGCCTTCTGGCATTGTGAGTTTCCATGGGCGGCGGTATCACTTAACATCAGGTGAGCCTCCTGCCCGTTTGCCTCCTATTACATAAAAAAAACCTATATCTAGTGGTGCTACAACGATTTTGGCTTCAAGTTGTATCTGTCATATAAAAATATTCTATCTTCTAGAAAACGTTTAAATGTATAGTGTGTTTTTGTTTTTTTTTTAGAAAGTGTTAATTTGCAAAGAAAGTTTGTGCAGTTCTAAGTAATATAATTATGTACATAAGTTATATACAAATGAAACTAACAAATTACGCTTGAGACCTTACGTTCTCTAAACGTTGGACTAAGTTTATCTTAGTCTTGAACAAGTTTACTTCAGATATTAATTTAATCATTTTAATATACTAGATAAATTGTGAAGTTTTATGCATACTGATAAATCTAAATAATTTTATGTTATTTATTGATTTAAAGAAAAAATAATTAAAATACAAAAAAATATGTCACGGTGGAACATAAATTGGTCACAATTTTTCCGTCCACCGAAGCGATTATATTAATTACAATAAAATTATAATAAAAAATAAAAAGCCTTTTTATGTATATAGTTTTTAGATCTACTAAGTTATCTTTTTCCTAATTATTTGCAGGAACCCCTTCACATATGAAGGACCTCGCCAAAAATATAATGATCGGTTAGGGGGCGTCCATAAATTACGTGAGGTGTTTTTTTAAATTTTCTGGACCTCCCTCCCCCCCTGGTGAGATGTCATGAGATTTTATTCAACCCCCTCCCCCATCCCCCAATCTCACGTGAGATTTTTCAAAATGTGGGTTTCTTACGTAAACGCATTGGATTGTTATTGAAAAAAGAAAAAAAAAATGCTTCGTGCTTTTATTTACGACTAAAACAAAATAAGTGAAATGTTGAGCGTTTAGATATGGAGTTAGCGGGAAGTTGGGTTGTAGGGTCAACCGTTTTCCTAATTTTTTTTTTCAGAAAAAAAATTGCGTGATATTTGCCGAGACCCCCCCTCTCTCCAACGTAAGATTAAATGAGATTTGACTCGACCCCCTCCCCCCCTTAAACACCTCACGTAATTTATGGACGCCACCTTAATAATGTTAAGGTCATAGGTACAAAGTGCGACAGTAGGAACCTATTATTGACATTAAAGTACAGGGTGCCTTTAAAGTTGACTTTATGTTTGTACAAGTAGGTAAACAATAAAACAAAAACCCATTTAAAAAAATTACCAATACATTTTTGTGGTTTGATCAATGTAGTAGTTTTTAAAATTATATTTGATGTTTTTGTTAGTCAGGGTTGTATGTAGTTTAGTAGTAATGGTTCTTATAATAATGCAGGTACTAAAAAATATTTTTAATTTATTCGTACGTGAAGTTGTTTTTATGAGAGAGGTATTAACAGTAAAAAGGCTATCGTAAATATATAAATAACTTAACGAAAGCTAAAAAGAACTTTCATTATCGTAAGCTTAATTTAATCAGTCGTTAAATTGACATTGTAATAGACGAATATGAGGCAGGTTGTTAGTCTAAATATTTTCAATGGTAATATAATATAATAATATTTCTAATAAATATTTTGACAAGACATTTTTTCTTGGTTTAGACTACATAATATTCTAATACATAAAATTCTCGTGTACATTGTTCGTTCCCAAACTCCTCCGAAACGGCACGACCGATTCTTATGAAATTTTTTATTCATATTCAGTAAGTCTGAGAATCAGCTACTATCTATATAAACCCCTAAGTGATAAGGAGTGTCCAACCAAAAAAAAAAAAAAATTTTTTTTTTTTTTTTTTTAGATACAACATACAATACATTCCTACAACCCTTAATTTTCACCTCTCTACGATGTATATTAAAACTATTGACTTAAACTCTGAGCTTTAAATATAGAGAAAAAATCACTGAACAACCTAAAATTTTTATTCCGGAACAGTGTCTGTCGGTACGTACTAAAAAGGTAGGCTAAGTAAAATCTCAAAAAGGAGAAACGAATTTCGCAGGGCAATAAGTTTTAAAATAAAATTTACGGATTACAGTTCATTTGAATTATGCATAACCCGGTGTTTTGAGTACTTTACATCAGTCGTGGTCAGCGGGAGACCAATATATGTGCGGTTATATTGGTTAAAAAAGGTTTATTTAAATTAACGTAGAAAATATATAACATGATATAATAATATACACGTAAACAGTTTTTCCTGCAGACGTTACTCGTTTAACAAAAGCCCGTAAAATTGCCAATCTCATCTACCTCATCCCGTTTAAATAAATCGACGGTAATTACAACATTGGCCAAATTAACCGCACAAAATTATCCGAAACTTTAAAAAATACGCGCTACACCGCTCGAAAGTAATTTCACGAAATTGCCATTCTTCCACTCTTATTCACCTGCCTCATTCCCTGTTATTACGAAACGAAATCCACAAATCCCCGCGATTAACCTAGATCAAACGGCACACCGGCTCAAATAAGCCATAATATGACGACAGGTAACAGATTTCTTTTGTCTTTTCTCATAGAGAATCATTAGTTTATATTTGCTGGCACACCGTTATGCCGGCGAAAATCCTGGATGTTATTTCTCATAATGATTATGTAAGTTCCTATGGCGGGCTTTTCATTCCACTTTACTAATGTTAATGGACGGCATTAATGCCTTTTTGTTTTCGCTTAATGTTCAAGTCGTGACGTTGTTTTAATATTTTAATATCGTAGTTTGAACTGGTTGTTATAACTTTGTTCCATTAGCCTTAAACACACTTTTGTAATTTAACTATTAGTTTGGAATTATTTATGTTAAGAGCTGTTTATGAGGTTTCGTAAAATATTTTGTTGATAAACAAAAAAAAAATTAATTCGTATCTATATTTTATTTATTAATTTATAATTTATTGTTTATAGTGCGACCTCTACTCGTGGAGATTTTGTCCAGAGAACAGCCACTATCTGTTGGTAATGAAGCTGAATTAGCTTGCAGAGCAATTGGTGCAAGACCACCAGCTGTGATCACATGGTGGCTTGATAACAAGGAAATGACGGTCACTGACCCACAAAAGGTAACTATAGAATTTTCTTAAATAGTCAAGCGTCTCACAAGCGACACGAAACTAGAAATGCGCATAGCCAATCTTATTCCATGGACATGTGTCATCACACTTTACATTTATATCTCCTAGGTTAAACTAAAAAATAACAAAATTATATCTATAAAAATATCAATACATCGAACATCATCAAGTCATGGGCACTTCATTATATTATGACTAAACTATCCAGTCTAAATCGTATAATTAATAATTAAATCTTATAATAAAAAAAATGTAAGAGATCGAAAATGTCCCTGGATACAATAGCAGTAGAGAGTATTATTATATTGAAAAAAAAAAGTATATTTATTACAATTTGAAAATTTACTTTGGTACTTACGCGAGTGTTGATCTAAAATCAGACAATCAGTAGAAATGTTGACACGAATAGCAGTTTGTTTGGTATACCATAGCACTTTCAACGACGCGCTTTATTACAAATGCCGAGAGTACACATGTTTCATTATTTCATAACAATAATGAAGGTATCATAAGATCATTCAAAATGAAAAAAAAAACGCGTCTGAAGTTATACTTCTTTGGTGTAATAATTTTCTTCGAGCACTTTAGAGAGACGTTTCCCTCTTCAAATTGCATTTTTCTTGTCCATTTTAATGGTCACTTCCAAGCAAAACGATATAATATATACTAATCATGTTATTTTACAGTAATCACTATGTTTGCTATCACATTGAAACGGGTTTTCTCGTATAGAAATCATTATTTGGCTTTAAATAAACACTATGCCATGACAGACACTGCCACTTGTCGATAAAACAGAGTAAGCGCCAACTAGCGGCTCAGACTTTTTTACCGACGTTGATATTCAGGGTGTTGGTTTTTTTTTTTTACAGTGCGCGCATCGTAAAAATTTACTTACATCATTTTTCTTTTCTTTCATAAGTATAACTTCAATAACACATTTTTAGGATTCAGAAGACCGTAATGAAACAATATCATTTCTTCGATGGACACCTCGTATGGAGGACGATGGTCACACTCTCAAATGCCGTGCTACGCACTCTAAACTCGAACACGCTACTCTTGAAACGAGTATAAAACTGGATTTACATTGTAAGTATGCCTATACTGCATAGCACCTTCTTTTCAGATAGTGTAAAGGTCAGTACTCACATATGGTATTACTCGATCGAGCTAAACTGTCGAGTAAAACCCATGGCATGGGCTTTCGTCCACACATTGAGCTTTGATCTATCGAGTGAGGTGCGCCGTCCAGTATTCACCGAACCGTTCGAGCCAAAGGATGTCTGAGCAACAAAGGAGACGGTGGCTGTATTAATTTCTCTTATTTTTGTGGGAGTAATCTTTGGACTTGACATTTCATAAACACTCACACTGTCTATATGTGTTAATATAGTCTTCTATAGCGCTTTTGGAATAAATTCGCAAATCCATTTCTCTTTAAAACAAGTGTTTCAATCACGATAAACAGTACCAGACTGACGCTCGCCTCGCACCACTCGCAGTCACATACACACGTTCGAGTCAAGATTGACGGCTCGCTTCGAGTAGGTTCGAAGGAAATTACTTTCATTTAATTCCATCAAGCCGGCTCGGTGCGAGCCTTCAAGCTGTGAGTTTTGCGGTCCACACGTTGATTTTTACTCGACTTCGAGTAAAACTATCGAGTAATACCGTACGTGAGTACTGACCTTTAGAAAAGCATATTTTGACGTTTGACAACAACAAGGAAAGATCTTAGTATGTATTTATTAAAATTTCAGAAACACTTGTATTACAGTTATGGATGGTATATGTACTTATATTTGAGTAACGATGTATATTTCTTAATATTGGAGTATTCAATGCCTTAAGGGATTTTCTGTCAAGTTTTAAGAGCTCCATAAATACGTACAATTTATATATCTCACGGGAGTAACTGAGCTGGTGGAATGAAAAACCTTTTATCTAAGTTAAACTAGAGGTGACTTTGGCTGTTCCCATTTAGTATTATATAAATTTATAATCAAAATTACTTCTAATATAAAGAACAATAATATATATATTATGTGTCGCAGTTTTAGACATTACATACTCGTTATAGTTAATTAACAATATTAAAGAGACTTAAGTAACAAAACATGTTTGGCATATTTGAATTTTAAAATTAAATAATTATTATTAGCTTTTTAGTAATTAAAATTAAATATTTACTAACAACACGTATATTGCACAAAATCTAATGTTGCAAAGACAACCTTAGACCAGATTCTCCCTTAGTTTATACAAAATATAATAAATAAATCAGTGCCGCTACAACCTTCCTAGGTCTGATCCTCAGATTTCTGTATGTGTTTTATGATCATTTGTTAATCTAGTAGGCCAGTAGGTGATCAGCCTCCTGTGCCACACACGCTGTCGAATTTTTAGGTCTAAGGCAAGCCGGCTTACTCACGATGTTTTCCTTCACCGTTCTAGCGAATGTTTAATGCGTACTTAAAATGGAAGTCCATTGGTGGACAGCAGGGGATCGAACGACCTCAGGGATGAGAGTCACACGCTGAAGGCACTAGGCCATCACTTCTCTTGTAAACAAAATAAAGCTTTGATGTATTGTAAATAAATCGCATTCGTTGTTTATCAACTAAACAATAATTTGTTGAATAAATTTCTATACATTTTTCAGTTATGCCGATCGTGACGCTACAGTTGGGGTCCAAAATGAACCCTAATGACATAGAAGAAGGCGATGATGTCTATTTTGACTGCATTGTAAAGGCCAACCCACCTGCGTATAAAGTTGTATGGGAACATAATGTATGTATATTTCGAAAATGTGAAATGTCGTAAAATCGATCGTAAAATTTGAAGCGGCCTCATGAATTTACACATAAATTTTTATAAATATCTGAATTACGAATTTTAGTAGTTTTTTTTCCTTAATAATTTGTTATTTTTTTATCTGTAATGAAACGAAGTTTTAATAAATAATAAAACTATTATGGTTTATAAGTCACTACGGTGCCCAAAAATATAATGAATTTTTAACAAAGTAAATAGATAAAGAACAACTTTAGCTGGCCAGTCCAATGAATAATCACCATTTAACGAAATAAACAACTAAACGCTTGACTATGTTAAGATAACGCCAATATTTGGTGATTTTATCATATTATTTTTTGATTCGGCTGCGACATGATACATTGAAGCAAGCAAGCAAGCAAAGATAGTTTTCTTTAAATGGCAATCTGCCCTGTCTTAAATAAGGTTATTATGTATACCCAGAAATGAATGTGTAAAAATTCTTATGAGCCACCCACTAAGGCAATGTCGCATAAGAATTTTTGAATTTGTTCACTCGGTTTAATTTGTAATCTTCTTGGGAATGACAGTTGTGACAGATGACACTTGAACGTCAATTGATATTTCTGATTCCTGGCTACTGGATAGCATTTTCCTCGTGCTACGAATAAAATTACATTTCCAAATTTAAAAATACATTTGCGACTTCTTTCACGTGTAAGGTTAAAAAATGCGTAGGATTTAAAATATTATTTTACTTTTCGAAGATTTCAATATTACCTGGAATTTAGAGTTATATATAGATCAAGGCTCTCAGCTCCCCTCTAAGAAGTTATAGTGCGGAAATTATGAATTTTTTAAGCTATGAAAATTAGAATAGACAGCGTGATTTGGAAAGAAAATTTGCTATTTTGGAATCAGAACTCTACTACACCTAAATTGCAATATATTATTTATAATTCAGGGCCAAGTGATGACACACAACCAGCGCGCGGGAGTGATTGCTGGCTCTGCACATCTGGCGTTGCAAGGTGCGTCAAGAGAACAAGCTGGGAAATATGTGTGCATCGCTTCCAATGTGGAAGGTGACGGGCGGTCGGAACCTGTTAATTTACAGATACTATGTAAGTATATTCCAGCTAATGTCACTACAGTAAGCTCTAAGCTTTTGGAAAATATTTTTTTGTATACTTAGTAATCTATTGTTATTTATTTAAACCACTTTTATTATTTAGAATAATACCGTATACGGTAAAAATTAAAAAATTAAATAAGTGTCTTGTTATTACATACTTAGTTTAGGTTAGTTATTATTATTGTATAAATCTTATTGGCTAAACTAACTGAACTAAGAAGTAATTCTGTAAACTTTATAAAAACATTTTGATGAACCGGAACAGAACCCAAAGCAATTGTTTTTCTTGGCTTTTTACGCCACATGGGGTAGCCGCTAAGTCATGGAGGTGTTATACGTAAAAAAACTACTTAAAGTTATGACAGTTTTATAAGTTTAATATGCTTATTATTATTTATAGCTTAGTAAAAAACATCACTATTGTGTACATGCCTGACCGGAAACGGAATTGAATAAATTTTACACGGAGATATTCAAATTACACATGTTGTATCTCTAATAATTGTAAGATGTAATTTGCATACAATATAAGCCGCATGATACGATACAAATTCGGCAATAATAAACATACAAAAATAGTCACAGATAAAATAACAATGACACGCAATCAGAAATCAACAGTTAGTTAACTGTAGTTACTCAATCATAATTTATAAATATTTTGGTAGTGTATTTTTAATGTATTACCTAGTTGTCAATATGTTCCCAAAATAATATGTAAAATCTGAATATATATGAAAATTCAATTCCATCTAGGATCCAGCGTGATGAGACATGAATTGCAGTAATATGCAGTCACATGCAAATTTTGCAACTTGAGTGCTAACTTCCCAATGAATTTACATATCCAACCTCATACTAAAATACCGTCACAGGATTTTTGGAAAATTATGCTCACACAAAATAAAAAAGATATTACGCACATGAAAAAACAATATAAAAATTCTAAAGACTTTACAGAATGATAGTTTATCTTTTATTTTATTCTCAGCATTACACAGTTGTATTAATATGTACGAAAACAGACATTTTTGTTTCCAAATCTTTACTGAAGAGACAAAAAAATCGGTATAGGAAGTGTTGTGAAATGTATCACCATAAGTTATATGGTAGAGTAAAAAATAAAGCGTTATTGAGAGTAATCCGTGTCTGAGGTTGGAGTAAAATTGTAATTAAAAATCTATTTGTAAAAATATTAATTTTCATACATAAGTCACGTGACACAAAATGTTGTCTTATTAGTCTAAACGACGAGGACGCAGAATGTTTGTATCTACGCTGTCTAACAAATACTGACTTGGATATTGATTTCGACTGAAATATAGCATGTAAATTACAATGACAATTAAAGCGTTAAAAAAATTGGCGTTTATTCACGTGTTTACAAGTATAGTAATAGCTGGTGCGTCGCCTTGAGAGGCGCTTTAGAATTATGAATGGTTAATTAAAACTTAACATAATTAAAAATAACAATCTGTATAAGTTCTATAGTCACTAATAAATAATCGGAAATGGTTTTTAATTTTCTTTCAAATAGCAAAGCTAGTTAGACAATTTAAACATTGTCTAGCTTGATCTAATCGACGTTTAACGTAATTTACATAAGAACCAGAAGAAAAGAGGGGATAGCTTAAATGGGCATATTAACTAAATTGATTATTGCAGGCACTAATAAAAAAGCAAATTTTAATCCCGTAAAAGTATTGTTTTGTAATGAGTATCACAGTAGAGTATCGCGCAACTCAATGAAGTTATAATACTGCCTGTGGTTTGAACAAAAAATGTATAGCATCAATATCTTGCTTATGGTTTAAACTACAATAGATTAAACCTATTTACTTAACATTTCTATAAACATTATTAAAATAGCCTCAATAAATACGAAAAACTAACTCCTAACAAACATAGAATGGCTCATTGAATCGGATCCTACAACTCCGAAACAATGCAGAAGAGCTAAAAACTCGGAAAGACCCTTTTTCCGTAGGTAATTTAACTTTAACAACGGTGTACGTTGTTTTATTTCTCTTCTAATAGTGATGAGAATATCTCCGTGATGTAAAATCACTGCGCTTTTTCACTGTGAACACGAAATTCAAAAAATATTTACGTAGTAATAATCTAATAATTAAACATTAATAAAAACAAATCAATAAAGTTTGGTCCTTGTGGCAGTGTACCTTTAACGCTGGCAGCACTTCCTCACTGTATTGCGATACTTATTCGTTGAGCAGGGAAAGCACCAGCTTTGGGGACACCGATACTATTCAGGCGCCAACTTAAATCTTTAATTAGTGCCTGTACACTTGAACCCCACGGCCCTAACATAATAATATTTTAATATCAAATAAATCAATACAAATAGCTACACGTTTTAATAGTAGTTGGAGTCATAAAAACTTTAAAATTTAATACGTAATTCATGAATATCAGTTTAATTTAACCTTGAAAAGTGTTTCAAAATCCATATCAGTCACTGCTATGTATATATAGAATTTGCAGTGAAATATCACATTAGTATGCTATATCTTCAGCGCTGTGTGAAGTGGGAACGTGATCATATAAGGGACAAAAATGTCAAGTGCTCTGAGTACGAATACAATGAGAACACCGCAGTCAGAGAAAAGTGCTTTTGTTAATGAAAGAAATATAAAATCCTCTCTCTCTAATCGGGCTGCGGGTTGTGTGGTTTTTATGCAAAAATTTCGAGAAGTGTCGAATGTAGCGTAACGAAGATTTCGCTTTATGTTTATTCAAAAATGCAAGCTACAGTACAGTACATATGTTTAAACTTTTATTAACAGATAATTTTGACAGCTTACAATAATCCAACTGACAAATGAAAGTGTTAGTTTATTGTATTGTGTCAAATTCCCCACGCCGTAACGAAGGACTGTGTTTGGCTAACGCTTCTTTGCATGGGGCACCTTTGTAATAAAATCTCCGAATCTATGGATTCTGATATAGTCAAACTATCTAGATACAAACTCACAAATCACATAAAAATGACGCTACCCGAATTGGATTTCGAATCTACAGGGGCCTTACTACGTATCTTGGCATGACTGTGAGGTTCCAAATACTAACACAGACACAGCGTACGCTTATAAAAACTCACTCACACTCACAACTAAACTTAGCTACACTCTAAATACGCACACACACATTCACGCATACTCAGTCTCTTATACGACGTTAGCTGAAACACTAATACTTCTTTTTATTAAAAAAAAACTATTATAAACATGTATCATGGATTAATTGTTATCTAGTTACCCACAACACAAAGATTGCAAAAATGTAGTGTTCGGATAGAAGAATTTTGTAACAACCTATTTCGGTCATGAATAAAGATTTTATTATTATATTCGACCGCAATATGTTTAATATGTAAAAAATTTGCATTAGCTCTTTCATGTATAGTATGTCTTAATTATTTTTTATAAATAAAATCGTATGGAAATCACTTATGCAAGACTTTGTTCGATCGTTGCATGAAAATCATCATTGAGTTTTCTTTCAAAGCAAAAAAAACATTTTATCGTGATTCTACATGACTTTCATGACATTCATGATTTTTCTTATATGAAATATCTCCAAGAACCGTGTAAGTCGTTTTGTTGCTCAAGACGAGGACAAAGAAACATATACATATGTTTGTTGCAGATAAACCAGTGTGTAAAAACCCAATTAATGCAATTGTGGGTGCTGCCATCAACGAAGCTGCTAAGGTGACATGTGAAGTGGACGCATTTCCACCACCTAAAAACTTTCAATGGGTCCTTAACAACACTTCGGCAACAAAGGAGCTTGATGCTGTATGTGTATTTATCTTTATCATCAGTCTGAACCTCAGATTATATAGTGTATACATTTTATTGATCATTTTATTTTTTGAGGAGCTGGTTTCATTTTTTTTTTTTTTTTTTTAAGACAATTCACACCAATTGACCTAGCCCCATGCTAAGCTGGTGAAGCTTGTGTTATGGGTACTAGGCAACGGATATACATACATATTATAGATAGATAGACGTATAAATACATATTTAAACACCCAAGACCTAAGCACAACACCAAATGCTCATCACATCGATGTTCGTCTCAGCCGGGGATCGAACCCGGGACCCATGGATTCGCAGTCAGGGGTACTAACCACTAGACCAATGAGTCGTCAAAGTCGTCGTCATTGCCTTCTCCGTGTAAGCATAATATTAAATATACATAGAGACTATCTGATCCGGCAAACGTCGTTTTGCCATGTATATCATTTATAATAAAAAATAGGGGTTGATCGTAGATGGGTGAAAATTAGGGGTTGTATGTATTTTTTAATGCTGTATCATAAAAAAATAAAAACAGAAAAAAATATCTAAAAAAAAAAAAAAAATATTTAGGGGTGGAGTACCCTTAACATTTAGGGGGGATGAAAAATAGATGTTGTCCGATTCTCAGACATACCCAATATGCACACAAAATTTCATGAGAATCGGTCGAGCCGTTTTGGAGGAGTATGGCAACGAAAACTGTGACACGAGAATTTTATATATTAGATAAATCCTATTCCAAAAGTGATTCATGCTTCACGCTTTAGCCAACCAGCCAACACAGTTTACAGTTATTATTTTTTATTTCTAATTTTTGTTTTTTTTTAGTAAATATCACTTGTCTCTTTTTGTTACTTGATAAGAAAGAGATAGCTGGTTACCGATAAGCCCGAGCCCTCATAAATATTTAAGTCTTCTAGTTGTTTTATACTGTCGACAAACTGTTCGTATTATTTTTATTCACTTTTTTCTTAGACATCAGTCGTATAAATTGAGACTATACTTGTCTTAACCCATATATTTTGTTATTCCTCATTTTTGTATTCTGTAATTGTTTATTTTATTTTTAGTTTACATTAATTTAAACTAGACTTATTTCTATTTCTGAACCTACATGGCAGCGTCTGTGGACTATCTTATTTTAATAAATATTATATTATACCATTGGAATAAACCAAATTACACCTCTGTCATAAACTATACATGAATGAACTAATGATGACCTAACCATCAATCCCTTTCAGCAATTTGGTCACAGATATCTGCATGTGTTTCATTGACTATTGTAAGGAAATCATATTATGTTATCAATTTTTTTCGGCGACATTCTTCGCGATATTTGACATTGATGAAGAATCTATTATAGCATTGCCAGAATTAAGTATCGCAATCCTTCCTAAGCGAACACTGTTTATACATAAAAAATAATAATAAATATATTTTGTGTTCAAAACATTCGATGACAAAACAATTGTACTATATGATAAAATATTGAAATAATTTAACATTTTCTTAAGTTAAAAGTTTTGAGTTCGACGTCGCTATTTATTTTATTTGTTATTTCTATTTGTAAATTGCCACGCTTATAATAATAATATGTTTTCGGCAGAATTTCGTACAGACGATATTAATTAAATTATTTATTAATTAGCTGTATTATAATTTGTAACAATTTAATTTTAAAAATTTAATGATTTTTTTATTAGGGAAAAGAACCGTTCTTATTTCAAAATGATTTTGTTTCAGGGTAAATTCACAGTTGGGCCAGGACGATCCGTACTAACATTTATTCCAACGGCTGAAACCGATTACGGATCTCTATCTTGTCGGGCTACGAACCTGGCTGGCCAGCAAATCGAACCATGTAGATACACCCTTCTTCCAGCCGTCAAACCAGATCCACCTACGAACTGCTCAGCAAGGAATTTGACGGATGATTCTGCGGAACTGCGTTGTGCTGCTGGTGAGAATAGTATTATATTATTTACAGGTGTTATTCAAAATGGTTAGAAGATTTTAAGTTTGATTCCAGGAAATAATCATCCATATTGTTGGAATCTACGACATGTCAATTTACTTATGATGTTTCATTTACCATACGAAATACTTCTGATTGCACACATAGAAAAAAAATACACAATTTATAATAAGGATCAACATTACATAGACATAGACATATCATTTTTTACCAACAAAAACATATACACATAAACACACAAAATAACGATAATCAAAAAAAAATCCCTTTTCCCATTCACTTCGTTTCAAGTGTGTAATGCGTGTGTGCTGTGGCTGTAATTGGCCCTGGCTCAGCATTATGCTAAGGAGCAGTTTCACAGCGCTGGTCATTCTGCCAGAGACCACATCTGCTAGTTTGCGCCTCAGTCGCAAAAAAAGAAAGAAAAGGAATGTAATAATAGTAGAAAAAATAATAGATATAATAGTATCAGTAAAAGTTAGCAGTGTAAGTTACGACCTTAAGGATTAGATAACCACTTTTAACCTTCCCTCGTTGTATTTTGCGCAGAGCAAACGTTGTAGTCTCACTTTATATGATTCAATAAAAGATCTACAATATCAAAAATTAATAATTGATTAGAAAAGGTAGGACCAACTGAACCAAATAGCGACTCAATGCACTGACCGTAGGTAATAACAGTTAACGAGAGTCACATAGAAACTAAAAACAAAGAATGTCTAAAACGGAAAAGTTCATATTACTGTAAAAAATAAAACAAAAGAACAATGTCACAACTATTACATTGCGAACTCTTAACTCCAGTAAACGTTGTAGAAAATGTCATGCACTTTATAAAGTCCACACTTTAATATTATTATAAAATTTTCTGAATTAAATAGCTATAAAGGTTTTTATTAACAGGTAGTTTCATTAAACGTATTAACGATTGTACGGTTTGCGTTATTTTTACTTTTTTTAAGTTTTACAACTTACGTATGACATTCAAAATCTAAACCATTTATTCAGGTAGGTATCAATTGCACACTTTAGAATGTCTGGTGCATTTTCTATCTATACAGATATATATTGATTTAAAAAGAGGTGAAAAGTAAAATAAAAAAGGCAGTTTTTATCTACTTTGTATGCTGGTCTTTACTTAAAAATTTCTCTTTAAACCCACGGCTCTCGCCTTAAAAGATGTGACCTTGTGTCATTTTAATTCTGAATGAATATCACTTTTTTTTAATGGAATCTCGCTATATGCATAGCTCGGCCTGCATGGGCGTTTTTCCCGCGACTAGCGCAAGGGTGTCTCCTGTGAGATTCGAACCTCGGCTTGGGTCGTCGCAGGGTGGTCAATCGCCTGAAGGGCAGGACGGAAGCTCACTGGAGTGAGCGAAGTACGCAGTAAAGGTCCTCGCCTTCCCCGGTGAAGGCGGTTTTTTACCCTAATATGTTTTTGGCTATTATTATTTTTAGGGCGGCTTTTAATAATAATTAAATAATTGAATATCACGATATAACTATGTATATATATAGAATACACAGTAATATTCATACGGAATTGCTTGCTAAAATCCCTATCCACTGCAGTACACGGTTGACTAGAAACAAATATCAATATTACACCATGTCTCACGTTTGTGCTCATCGTTTAATGGTCCTGTTAACAGATTGTGTCGGGGTTTTACAATAAAACTGTGAAAAGGTTCGGGACGACCTTTCACCGAGTAGTTTTAGCAACCTTGCTGTGTTAATTATTTGCTATTATTATTATCTTTATTCCTACAAAATTATATATTTACATTGTATATTCGGGGATGCTTGGCGGACTTCTTTAATAGAGTCACCTCGTGAGTTGTGCACTGCGATATTGCGGGCTACTCGATTGTGAGCAAGTTGTATGGATCTGGTTAGAGCTGTCCCTTCTTAAGATCCCATGTCATTTTCACACGTGTATCATGTCACATATCCTTTCTATAACATATTTTCATAAGCATCTGATTGTCCTCATTTTAAAATGTGTGATGTTTGAGATTAAAAATAAAAAAAAACCAATTGCTGAGTTTAATCACAGGCGCGTCACATGATACGTGATTAGTTAATCAGGAAAACTTATAGCTTAAACATTTTTTATTTAGTTTTTTTTACCAAAAACAAACAAATACGCTCAAATTAAATGTGAATATAACTATCCCTATATAATGTTTTATATCTTAAATCACTTTTTTATATTATATTTATATCATATATTTTAATGATATTCCTCTTATGCTGCTGCCCAAACTCAAAATAAACCAAACCACGGTAACAGTGTTGACATCTTTAATACAATCTATATTTTTTATAGGTTACGATGGTGGTCTACAAACTATGTACTTCGTGGAAGCATGGGCTGCAGGCGAGCTAATCGCCAACGTATCAACGATAACTCCTGTCTGGAAGCTTCAAGGCTTGGGCTCTGAGACAGCTTTGAAGCTGGTTTTCTACGCAAGTAACGCACGAGGCCGATCTGAAGTTAATACGATCAGAGTGCATACATTGTCAAGACTTGCCTTACACACAGGTATTTATCCTATTAACGATTATCCATTAACTTACTTACAGGTCATATAGAGAATTTTGCGTTCATATAGTGCGTTTATCTAGCAAGCTCCTAATTTAAAACTGAAGTATAAGAGCTGTCAAATCGTTTAATCTGTAAGAAGTTTGACATAATATATAACTGTCAAATAAAATTTGATTGTGAGATAAGATTGTTACCGCCCATAGGTTTTAAATCCTATACTATTTGGTTTGTCGCATGTTTATATTTGAACTTAACGTTTATATGCTCACCTCTCTCGTGATATTTAAAGAAAAAATACACATATATCTAATTAAATAAATCAATAATTTGTTCTATAAATAGGGAACCTTATTTGAGTCCGTTTCGTAAGGCCAAAACAATTGAAATAAGGCTCCTTCAACTGACTCCAAATTAACAATTAAATAAAGCTTACCCCTTACAATATTACGTAAATTTCGGAATTAAAAGATGAGATTTCTTTAGAAACAATTTACGTCACTGCACTACACGGCAATCACTGTTCGACATAATTTTATAAAACTTAATTAACCGCGCTTATAAATACTTAATTTCCAACAGTTTCGATTAAGATATTTCTTTCCAAAAAACTGTAAGTGCTGGCCTAATTGCTTGAGCGTGCGACTGTCTGTATGATGAACTTCTGTCTATGCGCATTAAACACATCAAATGTTTAATGCGTGTGGTAAAGGATAATATCGTGAGGAGACCGATATGACTAAGAACATAAATCTAAGACGTGCGCCAGTAACAGAAGGCACCTACTCGTTCAAAAAAGTATCAAGAAAAATATACAGAAATCTGAGGCAAAAACTAAAGGAGCTACTGGTTTTTTTTTCGTAAATTGAATGTCACTAGTATTTTAATAATCCAAGTTTATTGTATATTACGTTTAGTAAAATACTAATATCTTAAATCATACTTTAAATATAGTACACTGAATAGCTTTTTCATATCCCGATAAATTCAATATCAATCGAGAAGCTTTTAAACGAATTTAAAGCGTAAAAGGTTTATTAAAAGCTTATTGGGATTTACATATATAGCAGCAGTTCAGCCTGCGATTTAACTTTGTAATAATTTAGCGCAACAACCTTTTATGGATTGGCCTCAGATTTCTGCAACTGTGACATTGACTATTTTCTATTAGCTGATCACGGGGCTTAGATATAGCGGTTTTCTCGCGATGTCTGCCTCTACGATTGTTGATTGTGGGCAAAACAAAATATACGACCACATAAAAACGCATTTAATTTTTAGTATTTTGCAATAATTTATTTTTTATCCGCATCACCTTGATGACTGGAAGTCTTGGAAGTCTTCCACAGTACACTCCTGACCACAAGATATTTTCTTTTGCGAACGGTAAAATTGACTCCCGGTGAGAGTCTTCCCTGGGAGAGACGACCTCCAATTGAATCAAAAAAGACTCTCTTTATAGCTATACTCCTCTCTCAAAGGCCGGCAATGCTAATAAATAGGTGTTCATGGGCTGCGATGACAGCCCTTTTTGAGTATCCTGTAGGCTAATACACTTTAAAAAATTCAAATGGTTTCTAATATGTTTTATAGCCATGACACACGGCAAGTGTAATGCCATAATATTAAAAAAAATTACAAGATATTTAGACTATAAAACTTTACAAACGGGGTAACCGATTTTTATGAAATTGCACATAGCATTCAGTACGCCTGAAAATAGGTCGTAAACTGTTTTTATATGTAGATTATATTTAGTAAAAATATAAAACCCTTAATTTTTCACGTCCTACCACCAACCTATTTTTTAATAGCGATATTTGTACTGTAGTAATTATTATATGGCATAACAACGTTTGCCGGGTTAACTAGTATTTTTATATAAATTAGTCATATCAATCTCTATAAAATATTGTTTTGACTCTATAATTAAAAATAGAATATTAAAAGCTATATGAGAGCACATATTTTATCGGAAAATTTATAATGAACGTGATATTATACAACAGAATGCAATCTCTGCTGAAGAAGCTTGGAAACTTTTTTAAATTAATATTCATTCAATGCATTAAGTATTTTTAATCATTATGAACTAGATGGTTCCTTTTAGCGAGGGGAATGGATATAATATGTAATTCACTATAACACCGCTCCTCTTTTAACCCAATTCAATGGGTTTTAGCATGATTGAGGATGGTAGTTTTTAGTAGTTTAAATATAATTTAGGAATGATTTTTTTATGTATACTGAAATAATTAAGAAATATAGGATTTTAATTGTTTTTGCAAAGTTGCAACTAAACGTGAAACGTACGTGTTATTTTAAATATTACAAACAAATTCACAACAAGTACAAGGTTTTTCCCGTATCACTTTTGACTGTAACGCTTAGAGATCAGCTATCTTATGGTGAAGTATTTGTTGTAATAAAACTATGTCAGTTGTCATATATAGGTTATCAATAGTCATTTAAATTGATTCATTTGAAGAAGGCTTGTATTCTAGGACGTCAATTATAGTGTTTGTCAAACTTCATGAGCTGTTTAACAATGTCAAAGCTTGAAATTGGATGAAGCGTTCTAATTTCAAATATTAATGAATAATTAATTTCAGAGGCGAAAAGCAACCACGTCGGTGTTGATACCAGCTGGGCCCTCGGCATCATTGCAGGCATCATAGGAACACTTGCAGTACTGGCTGCTCTGGCTTTACTCGCGAGGAAACGGCATAGACCGCTTCAGTATGAAGGTTAGTTCGATAAAAAAAAGTTCATCGTCACGCCACGAATAGTGGTTGCCTGGAAGAGATCGCTAGAACGAGATAAGGCAGCCAGTTGCCCTCCTATTCATTTAATTATGTCAATTGTACTATATTTCTGTATGTAACGAAGTGTTAATAAAAAAAAAAGGGTGCGTGTACTTATGTACGCGCGTAAGAAGTTACACTTCTTTGGAATTATTAAAAATAGTTTTTGATTGCATGCAAATAATTAATTACAATTAAATAATCAAAGACTAGAAAAGGAGTCATTATAGTCAATAAAGTTCAGTTTCCATTTGAACAATTAGATAAATAAATATTTATTAATATTATATTAATATTTATTATTATTTTCTAATATTAATTAGTATTCATTTCAATATTCAATTCAAATCACTTCTGATTATAACTCAGACGCACATATAAAATTCGCACATGTATAATGAAAACACGTGTTTTAAATGTAGAAACTCAAAGCATGTGGATAAATATTATAAATATAAATAAACAGTGAAAAGAGGCGGCGTGCATGCCAACATGCGCTACTAACTTCATTCTGTTAATTTTGTGTCACGGTGCGCGCGCATCGTAAAATTTCACTCTCATACATTTTTCATTACGCGCCTAAAGAAGTATAACTTCAAAAATGTCCTTTGATAGCAATTTGATTTCACAAAACTTTAAGCAGTTTTATTTCAAAAATTAAACTGAACAAAAACCACATAAAAAATATATTAATAATATTTATATTAATATTACGTTAAGTATGCTTCTATTTATGAATGCAACTTTACAAATATAAAGCTGTATTTAAACTAGCAAGAGCTCTATAAAACGCTGAATACACTATCCCAAGAGGTATTACAAGAAATGTTAAGACAAAGGTCATTTAGTATTAATGTATACAATCCTGACGGGAGTTCAATGCTGTGTATAACATAGATGTATGTATGTGTGTGTATACATTAAAATATTACATCACACATATACGCAAGTATTAAGTTATAATTATAAATCTGTCCTGGAGGGTGTAAATGTAAAACGAAATACCCTGGACGCAACATTGCGTTCGATTATGATTGGTCAAATGGATGTAACATTCTGGCAGATCATGTCCCGTGTCAACGCGTATTAGACTAGATATGCTGTTGACAAATAACATTGAAATGGTTGTCGTTTCATATTTCGTTTTACATTTTGCTAGTAGCAATATAGTAATAGTGGTAATAATAGTTAACGTACATCGTGTCGCGAACATTTCACTTATCTAATCTCGTAAAATATTTAAATTTCAATAGTCTACACCATATTGACATATTTAATACAGAGAATCTCGAAATTTAAAAATAATTGTTTCAAGTTATTAATGATGTGATAGAGGTCAGAGGCAAATTTTACGAAGTTTATTTCAGCATAGTTTCGATTTTGTTATTATGATACGTGGCAATCAATTTCTAGTCTATGTCAACCTCCTGATGCATTTGGATTCGTATGACATAGAGCAGGTTCATTATTTAAAAAAAAAAATTTTTTCTAAACCCTAAAAAAAAAAAATTAAAAAAAAAAAAATTATAAAAAAAAAAAAAAAAAAAAAAAAAAATTATAAAAAAAAAAAAAGGAAAAATAAAAAAAAAATTTTTAAAAATTTTATTAATTTAAAATTTTTTTTTTTTATATATTTTTTTTTTTTTTTTTTTTTTTTTTTTTTTTTTATTTTTTTTAAGGGGGGGGAAAAAAAAAAAAAAAAGAAGAAAAAAAAAAAAAAAAAAAAAAAAAAAAAAAAAAAAAAATTAAAAAAAAAAAAATAAAAAAAAAAAGAAAAAATTTAAAAAAAAAAAAAAAAAAAAAAAGGAAGGGAAAAAAAAAAAAAAAATTTAATAAAATTTTTTTTAAATGCGGGCTTATCATAACTTCGTTCATTCTAAAACTATGTCTTATATGAAGGAAAAATCCATTAAGACATAACTTCGGTTTAACGCTCACAGGTTCAAGGATTGTAATAAAAAATATATATTAAGTGTGTTATGGAAGAGCCTGGGAACCCTGACACAGGTTCTATAGTTCAAAGGGTTCCCAAATCATACACATTGTAATGCACACTTATAATGAATAAACTAAATTTTATTTATGATTTATTTTATTAACTACTATGCCAAATTTAATTTACCCTTGAGTCTAAACATCGAGTTAGTATCAAACATTGGTAATATGTAATTTGCGTGTAGAATGAACATAAAAACTTGTTAATGTTATAACTTTGAATTTTTATGACTTGATTATTATCACCTTTAGCGACAGAATTTTAATGTAAATAGCCCATATCGTTAATTAGTTAATTGCAGTATTTGAATTAGTGTTAAGTGTATTGCAATGTCATCAAGGAGTAATTACTGCTAATAGTTTGCTTAATGTAGGCACTGAAGTAATAATATGCAGATTAATATAGCTTGAGCTTGGATAGAAATTGACTAAAATTTGTTATTTATATGTGTGTGTATATGTGTACTCTACACTTCTCACACCCACATTTATATACACTGTTGCATTAACCACCAATTCTAATATTATGAAATACCGGACAAATCAAATCGAAATGCATTTATTCTTATTGTTTATTATGTGTACTTATGAACAATTATCAAGACACAATACCCATAGCTGATTGTTATTATTGAAACGCATCCTAACTTATAGTTACAATATAATTTTTGTTAGGAAAATTTTAATCGCATATTAAAAAGTTCACGCCGTTATATGAAACTATTTACTTGAACTACCAATAAAATAATTTCAATATTTAGTATTTTATAGAAAATAATACACGATAATGAAATTGTAGCAAGCTTCGCGGAGAGCGGCGGGATTAAAATTTGAATCTTATCGGATTTGGGATAACTCCAAGCCGATCGTTAATATTATATGAATCAATATCTTTATTGTAGAACACAATTTGTATGAATTACACAAAATTAAAGGTGAGAGTAATTAAGGCACAGCGATTATTTATTCGCATTTACAAATTTTATATCCATAGGATAATAAATTATGTAACTGAAATTTCTTGTGTTCATTATAGTATATGCTTTATGCAAAAATTTATTCTAATTTTGTCACATCAAATTTGTTTGTTTAAATCAATGAGCTATGCGTAGTAAAATTATTTTCAAACTATTTTAAACGGTGTATAATTTACAAGGTGCCGAAAGACTGGAATTAAATTTTTCAATCATTTTGGAAATAAATATAGTCTAACATAGACTATATCGATTTCAATAATGTATTCTATTGTGAAAAAAATACGGGGAAGGAATCTTGAGGTATCCCTTAGACCCACAATGTTGACGTCGTGTGTCAGGCACAGAAGGCTGAAATACTTGCGTATTAAAAATACAAATGATCACGAAACGGATACAGAAATCGGCCAGGATCTAAAATGTAGTAGCGCTATTGGTTATGACTTTATGTTTAGTTTATACTAAACAAAAATACAACGTATCGAAAAAAGATCGCATAAAGAATTTGCTACAATTAATAATATTTCCGACTAGTTTTCATTTTTGGAGGGTTGGAAATTCAATTCAGTTTCTAAACCAATTTTGGAAACCACAACTGAAAATGTATTCAGATTCTGGGTTCCAGGTAAGGTTTAAACACTTAATTTACATCGCAAATAATATCAAAGTATACAAAGGATTTTAAAAGACGGTCTTACTGCTAAGACCAGTTTATTCCAGACAACCAATCTCAACCAAAATATAAAGTACTATTATTAATTTCATTTATAGATACGCCTATATCTTTGGCTATAAATTTATTGTGATAACATCATATCCTGGAACGTGCTAACAAAGTCTTTCCGACCGCTCGGGGTATATAAAACTTCTCAACCATAGCCACTGAGGCCTTTGGAGCAGTCTGGTCGAAAATCATCATCAGGTGTTGCACTTACACAAAGGTGTTGTTCATTCATTCATTCAATTTAGAGTTTTCATACGAGCATCACATCACAAATAAAATAAAAGAACATTTATTTCACGACTTGAATAAAAATTTGTTTTAAATTCTTTGCGAAATGTCACAGCAAGATGGTGAGCCAAAATATCTACGTCAGTGCATGCAAAGAATAGAAAGAATCCCTCGCGTCTAGAAATTCAGAGAGCACATTTCTCTACATTTCCTGTGTGATTTATGCCCCTTAAAAATTGCATGTTTCGTCACTCACACGACATTTGTATTAACTTTCCAATAGTGCAAAAGGAATAGCGTGTTCCAAATTTAATACATTTTCGAGTTATAAATTCCTAACATTGAAACGCACAGTCAATGACATATTCTGCGGGCATATTCAACAAAACGGAACAGTTTCAATTCCGTTCGATGGTTGAGTGCTATTTTTTAATTTCCAAAAGTGAATTTACTGGCGAATTGCTTAGGAATAGTTTGTTTATGAATTCACTAATGCATAACGTTTTTGAAACGTACGTCTTTTCAAATACACCTGCGAGTCGGCCAGCTCTGGTTGTATTCTGTATATTCTATTCCATACGTTGTTTTTTATATAAAACTAGCAGAACGGCCAAGCGTTGCTGTGGCTAAGGTTTTTGTTATATTACATAGTACCAAACTATTGACGGGAAACGGTAGGAGAACACCAGTCATGGGGACCACCATGCTTTTTTGGTGGTTAAGCCATTAAATTGTAGCTTATGTGAAACGTTGGTACTTTCAACACAGCGCCATCTGTTAGAATTGTGAGTATCAAATAATAAACAAATATTTTGCAATAAAATAATATTGCGGGTATACATTGAGATGTAAGCTATCCTATCTTTTAAGTTGGATCAAACTACACACGGTGTGCAAATTTGATTGATATCGTTCGCTAGTTTAAGAGTCCATAGCGGACAAACAACGTGACACGTAATTTATATATATTAAGATATTAAAATATTTTCTTTGAAACCATTTACACCTATTTCTAACGTAATTTCGTGCGGCATGGGGAATACAATTTTTTTTCTTGGGTATTTCATTCTTTTCTGTCTGTTAATGCTTAAGACAAGTAGGTAATCTTTATGTACGTACGTTATTTAATTTAAGTAATTTTTCCAGTGATATTTCTTTAAGATTAACGCACTAGGTGTCATATATTCAGTGTTTTGTTTTTAATGTTTCGATTCCAAGTACGGAAAATTAAGTATAAATGTTTTCGTTCAAAATCAGGCGCCTTTTGCCTTGGTTGTTTTAGTTTTTATCTTACATAATTGCACCATATATACAGCTAAACCTCGTAAATGGAAAACATATATTTGCAATAAACATGTAAATTTTAACTGTAATATATTTCATGTTAAAGAATTTATAAACCTTGTCGATTTATATTCGAAAGCGGGGAAGCAATAATTTCTTGAAGTGTGACCTAGTGCCAGGTATATATCGAGCTAAGTGTCGCTTGGCGTGTTATTTGGCTATATTTGATAAGACGTCAATGTATCGGGGATGGGGTTTTTTGGGGGAGACTTATAACTGACATGTGACGGAGAAATGTAAGACGAATATAGAGCACATACACGTATTTTACCTGGCAAGAAGTTATCCAAATTTCGAAAAAATGGTAAACTGTTAGAGCAAGGTCCGGGGAGTCCTAGTCATTCCAATTGAAGGTCCTCTGATTTGGTAGCAGTCTGTTGTGCATTTGTGGCCTACCGTTGTCGTGAAGCAGCAGTGGCCTAGAGATATTGACCAGTTGGTTGTTTGCCAGCTACCTTTTCCATCATGGTTTGCAGTTGCTGACAAAAGCCATAATGCAATAAATGGGTGGACCGATTTTATGACTGTTTAAGTGGATTCGAGAATAGTTCAGATTATTGACAATTAGGATGTTTTTTGTTTGTTTTTTCAGGTTGAAATTTTGTATTTAAGATGAGTGTATAGGCAATGTCTGTCGGGTCCGCTAGTTTTTCAAGTAAAACTTCTTAAGACGCATGAGGGTAAAAATTTTACGGAACGTCACAAAGATTTGCAACGTTGTTACCGAAGAAAAGGGAGAGAGCGATTGAGAGAGAATGAGAAGGGCGAATTACCTTATAAAAATTCTATTTTTAAAATTAAAATTTCGTTAAGAGAAATTATGAAAAAAAAAATTTTTTTTTATTATTATGCAAAATAATTTATTGAAATCTCAAATGACGAATTGTAAATTAAAATGCCACTTGTTTAACTATCGAATAAATTAATTGAAAAACAAAAATTAATTTGTATTAATTTTCGATACTTTAATATTTTAATGACAATTAAATTCATTAAATTCCTAACATATAATCTTCATTTTTCCCTCCCTCTAAGTCTCAGAAATCTAAAGTTTTAGATTTGAAAATATGAACAAGAGTTAAAAATTTGTTTGCCAAAGAAGTTTCACTTCTGACATGTGTACTTTGTACGCACGCACTTTTTTATATAAAGAATCAAGATGAATACTGTAGAATAATAATGATGTAACTATGTTGTCAACATAACAAAAAAGCTAATTTAGCACTGCTGCGACTTAAAATCCTACGACGGTTCTATTTCTGCATAGACTCTACTGTATAGGTTAGATATGATTACCAAACGATGACCATCAAAGTCAATTTAATATTGAAATTGTGTCCAAACTAGTCAAATAGTCTTTGATATTTAGTAAATTGACATTCTTGAGACAGCTTTGCAGCGCTGAAGCTGAAATTTCGTACTAAATATAAACAGTCTAATAAAAGGCTCTCACCACAAACTAGACTCTAGACTATTACTTACGTATAACGTAATTAATAACGTAAGTTTGTTATACAAAACTGAACTGATATAATAATTAATAAATAAAAAATAGTCCTTCAATGAAATGTTGTAAAATAAAATACTTAGCGATTAAAAAAATTGCTTAACCTGAGAACTTCCAGTAAATATAAATAATAAGTCATTTATGCGTACAAGTGTACTAAAGTCACCTAAACGAATAAATATGTTTTGAGTTCATACGACAATAATATAAAAACATTATTTATCACCGTCACTGAGGTGTACGTTTTATCTCCTTATTAGATTATTACGATAAGAAATAAATTAACTCTGAAAGCATTATAAAACCTGGACCAAACCATAGCATCGTGCTTGTTACCATGGTTACCATGTAATGTATAATATGTAAATACATAGAAAAACGTTACCATGACAACAGCTCCTTTCGTCACATTTGCATGTAATCATTACACGACGACATATACGTATATAATACTCTAAAATATATCTAAAGCATTCGTATTCAATAATATTTATTTTTCAGCACCGGTACAAACAGTAAAGGCGTATAAAGGATCAATGCAAAGTGCGAATCACTCACCCATAGGAGACGACAAGAACCCGGACGTAGTTCCTCTAGGAAAGGGTAGGTATTTGTTTCTCTATTGAAACAGGAATGCTTTGTACTCAGATACTTTTATTGACGTGAGCAACTGCTACAATGATCTATCTGAGCGACTGTGTTTTGTTTGCCTATCGATCGAATTATCGTTGTGTAGTTCGTTAAATATGGAACGTATATATTTCATAAAGCAATTTTTTCACAGAATATGATTATAATCTGACCTAATTGTTTAGAAATTTCGCAAAGTTGATACGAGAATTATAAATAGGTGTCTATGTCTAACGTGTACCAAAATTATCATCCTGTGCAATATGGGGTGTAAATAGAATGTAGTGTATAGTGATAAAATTAACCTTTCAATGTTATACCAATGTAAGAGTAATGTAATTGTTCTATTTACTTATTAAAACAGTATCTATACAATACATGTAAATCTCATAAAGGCAGCCGTTAAGAAATGTATAAAATTCATACACGCTTTAAAATTATCATCTTAGGTAATTGATAAGTCATATATTATGTGCCATACAATTTGCATTTAGTACCCCATGAGAGTAAAATGCATTTTGTATTCAAATTTTAACATTTTCTTGTGCAATTAATTTGTAAATTAATATTCTTGTGAGACTCGCTGCTACGAAACTATGCTTTTGTAACTAAATTTAAATTATAGCAACAGGGATAAATTAGAACTATACTTTCGATATGGATATAAATTTGAGATGCTAAGTGCATTATAGGAATAATAATATGTATTTTTTAATCTAATGATGAGGAAATTCTTTCGGAAGTTGTTTTCAAATCTACATAAAGTTTATATAATTCGCAAAGGTCAAACCACTTTTAAAGGTTTAAATTAAGAATTTTATTATAAATTAATAATTTAATATTATTTATTTTTGTTTGTGTAGACTTCAACTGCACGAGAGATTGTGAACGACCACCTGAACCGCCACCTTACGCTGCAGTTGTCTCGCCACCGGTTGGTTCATCCCGTAGCGCACACAGCTTGCACGATACCAGATCAAATACACCCCATACACCGAACACGCCAGCGTCTGATGCTCAGGTAAACTTTAAGAACGCTCTATTATTTAAAAGACATCGGAAAGTATTGGCCTAGTGGTTTCAGCGTGTGACTCTTATCTCTTATCCGTTGGTTCGATTCCCGGTTGTGTAATGGGCTTTCTGTATTAAAACTTGCTCGTACGGTGAAAGAAAAAACATCATGGGTTTCCTCACGTCTCAAATCAATAAATAGACGACAGATGTCAGACAGAAGGCTGATGGCCTACTTATGAAATGAAAATGATCAGAGAAACGGATGTAATCAGAGGCGAAGACCCATATAAGACTCTAGCACCAATAGCTTATTATTTTTGGCTCATTATTCATTATATAAAACTTCTTTGATGGATATAAACTCGAACTTATTACATTATTGAAGTTGACCTTGAGGTAGTAGAAAAAACAATCAGAACATCAATTAATGTAGTCATTTTGCATTTATAAAAAATTAGAGGCACATCTCATATAATGCACAAATTCAGTTCAGACGAACATTTTAAATTTTTGTATTGATCTATGATTATTACGCTTCTATTGATCGAAGAATGTATTTAATTTAAAAATTCCTCCTATTATCTAAGTTTTAATACTTATGTATTTATTGATGACAGTATTTGAACAGTGATTTTTGATTTTAGAGCATCGGAACATTGGCTGATGACCGGAGAAGTGTGACAAGTGGAACTCTCTCCCGGCGGAGAGAAGTTGTCACGACGAGGACTCCTCTACTGGCCAACGCTAGAGAGAGTTGTGTATAAATAGATAGTCTGTAGATAGATAGAACCATAGCCTAAGGCCTACATTGGAAAATATTATCAAAAGATAACTGTTGCACCTTGTAATTAACAAGACACAATCGCTGGTTGTGTCACACAGTGGTATTGAATATAATCAAAGTATTTATATAAATTGTATACAGTTCTTAAGTAAACGAGTCATTCAATTAAAGCAACGATTAGCTATATTTCTTCAAATAGATTTGACAGTTTTATTTAATTGTTTTAAGTATCACTTTTATTCAATATTGATGAATTAAAAGATCGCTGTTCTAAATCCTTCAAAGTATTCAAAACCAAATAGATTATAAATGCAATGCAAAAGGATATTATTTTGTTTTAAAGCTTGATGCAATTGAAATAGAAAGAAAAATTTGAATCGTTTTCAGTCAAACTGTGGAACTGTAGCTCAGAGTACAAAGGGGCTAATTCTTTGAGCAATAAAGAAAACTCTTCACAACGAGAAATGCCTCTGTATTCAAATGGAAAACACAAAAATTCCTACTAATTTAAAATATTATAAATGTTTAATGACAGTATTAAAATTGTATATTTCTCAAATCTTTTTACAAAAGAAATCATTTGAGATGTTAAACGGCTTGTCTATGATGAATAAAACACATCAAAACGATGCAGGTTAGTAGTTTATTAATCGCAAAAAATACTATTTGTTATTGTTAGAAAATAATAAAATGGAAACAAAACAATAACGAAAAATTCAAGCATAGGTATTTTCTACTTTAACCATTTATATGGCGAATCGCACTCGAGTATTATTGGAAAAGTTTGTTATCCTTTTTTCATTTGTACCGTGGCTATTTCAAAATTTTATTTAAAAAACATCAAGAGCACTATGCCTCGTGTTGGGCGTCAAGCGGTGCATAGGTCGTGAATAAAACATAGGAAGCTCGCATTGACGCGCCAAGCCTAGAGTAGAAATAGACAGACGTGACAAAGGTTTTATATTTTTTCTGCATATTTTTACAGTTTTAAAATTCTTCGCGTTATTCTCGCTATGCTAGGGCTTTTATACAATGCGTTTTAACTGGTATGACCTAAATTACTATGACGTTGAACTTTTATCTCAACTTACTAGTAAATGATTTAACCAAAAACAAATGCTGATAGGTTTTAATTAATTAATAATAACTAAAAAACTTAAGGATCTTTTAAATGTGAGACTCGGGTATCTGATATGGAATGTACATTCCTTACGCTCACTACATCTATAGACCGTGCCTAGTTTATCGCCTACGTAATGTCTACGCCGTAGCAAATTCTTGCAATCCTCATATCCTACGCGGTTCAAGTAACTCACACGACATACTTCACTGAAGTATTTCCGAACAAATTGGAACAAAGTAGAAGTTGAAGGAACCTTGCCTTTTTAACTGAATCAAAAACCTATGATTAAAATGCAATGTTTATCAGATAATACGTACACCAAAGCCGGCACACTAGATATTAAAAATAGCGCATACAATTTCTGCTCAAATAAAAACTGTTTTTCCGTTGAGAAACGTTGTGGGAAAACCAGAAAACAGGCCAAGGCTGAGTGGAGCGCTTTTAATCTATTTGTACCAAAATAAAATAATGTTGCATAAAAAACTTCTTCGCCTGTTATCCAATATAAAAACACTAATATTAGCTAAATTTCTTTTATAAAAGACTGTTTCCTTAATTGTTTAGAATCTAGATAGTAACGAAATTTAGTGTTTGTATATAAATATGTATATAAGTTAAGACACAGTTAAAATAATTAGTTAAATTTATTTCACGGTTAAGTTTAGTAAGTCTCATTTTATAATTTTTAAAACGGTACGATTGTAGATTTAAGACAATAAAGTCGCAAAACTAGTGAAATTCTAATAAATGAAACTTTTTGGAGTGTTTGTAAAATAATATAAGTGTTATTATGTTACGTTTTTAAGTTATTCTTTCATATTTTGTGTGTAAAACAATTCTATATATAGCAAAATTAAAACTATAATATAATTTACACCTAACTTCAACTATCTAAATAATATTTACCATAATAAACAGAAAATATTACCTTTTTCAACGTGAGAACGCATGCCAGACTTGCCTTTGGCTTATAAGTAATAATTGGTGATTAATCGGTATCTTCAAAAACAAAACATTTGTTGTGCTACGAAAACAGGACATTAATAATCAAGCCACAAAGATTTTATACGTTTACTAGCTGATCCGGCAAACGTCGTTTTGCCCTGTATTATTTATAATAAAAAATAGGGGTTGATCGTAGAGGGGTCAAAGTTAGGGGTTTGTATGTATTTTCTAAAGCTGTATCATAAAAAAATATCTAAAGATAAAAAAAAAATATTTAGGGGTGGACTACCCTTAACATTTAGGAGGATGAAAAATAGATGTTGTCCGATTCTCAGACATACCCAATATGCACACAAAATTTCATGAGAATCGGTCGAGCCGTTTCGGAGGAGTATGGCAACGAAAACTGTGAAAATTAGGGATTGTATGTATTTTGTAATGCATATTTGTCTAAAAATTAAAAAAGAAATAATTTAGGGGTGGACTACCCTTAACATTTAGGGGGATGAAAAATAGATGCTGTCCGATTCTCAGACATACCCAATATGCACACAAAATTTCATGAGAATCGGTCGAGCCGTTTCGGAGGAGTTTAACTACAAACACCGCGACACGAGAATTTTATATATTAGATAGACAAAGCCTAAAGAAGTAAACATCGAGAAATACGTACGATCAGCATAAAGAAGCTTTTAATGATTTGCTCTGTTTGGCGATTCTATTTATTTAATGCAACAAAGCAGCTTATATGTTAAGATTTGTACATCAAAGCGCTAAAATCACTTGACCTTAAAGCGCATTAATCACCACAATCACATTACTTGCATGTAACTTTGAAAAAAGAAACGTAATAAAACATTCTTACATAGCTTTTAGTTTTAGTTTTAATACAGATTATTCTGTTAAATAGCGACTTTGTACTAAATTTTATCCTAATTGTGTTTATATCTTCTATAGAAGTTTTATTATAAAATTTATTAGATTATTTACTGTAAATTGAGATTGTATTATAAATAAATTCACTGTGATGCTATTAAATTATGTTAAGAATTGATATTCTAATTGTAAATAGATAAGAGAACTATGCTTATCGAGTCACTGTAAAATACGTGGTAATTGAAAAACTGTATTCTAAAATAATTTGCAATTAAGTTTTAGAAAATATTACTCAATGTAAATAACGTCAATATTCGTTATAAGTTATCGTTTCTGATGTTCGATATCGACTTCACATATCGTTACTTTAAGCAGATGTGTAATTTCTTGAAAATAAATTTGCCTATTAGAAATTTCTTTGGCGTTTTAATTATTTTCTTTACTGTTTTTATGTAGAAAACTATGATGAAAACATTACAACAGAATATTATTTGAATTATACCAAATAGTTTTCTGTTACCTTAATGTGGTAGTCTCTCGTTGACTTGCAATTTATACAGCGAGCGTTTAACATTATTTCGAATATGACATGATTTGATCGACGTCTGCGAGAATAGATAAATATTTAAAAAATTAAAATTGTTGACCAAACCTCTGTTGGTACAGGAAACTGAATTCTGTACTATACCACTTATTAATAAGGCTATTATTATTATTAGGAATAGAATCCCTCTTGCAACATGATAAATTAAACACATGGAGAAATCTGACACACCATAAACTCAATCATTAATAAACTTACTGGATACTGGTTATGTGTAAGTGAGGTTTATCAACATAATATTTAAGAAAATATGGTTACTTGCAAAATGGATTTGCCTGGTTTATTACAAAGGTTCGTTGCACAACAATATAATTATCAGGACGACTCATTGGTCTAGTGGTTAGTACCCCTGACTGCGAATCCATGGGTCCCGGGTTCGATCCCCGGCTGAGACGAACATCGATGTGATGAGCATTTGGTGTTGTGCTTAGGTCTTGGGTGTTTAAATATGTATTTATATGTCTATCTATCTATAATATGTATGTATATCCGTTGCCTAGTACCCATAACACAAGCTTCACCAGCTTAACATGGTGGTGTGAATTGTCTTTAAAAAAAAAAAAATCAGCACTTGTTAGTAGGAATAAGAAAGTCTTTACTAAATCTGATCAGTCTTCTGTGTCTGACATAGTACGTATAAAGCCGCGGCTTGAACACACGACCTAAGGGCGGAAGCGACTATAGCTTTATGTTCTAAACCTAGTCGCTTAGTGAGATACAAAATAATATAAAATAATATTCGCATATTTATTTTATAAATACCATAGTATCCCTAGTGAAGGATTTTTATAAGTAAAGGTGATTTAAATAATTACTAAATGTAACTGTAATCGAGGAACTCTGAATTCGTTTGAATGTTATATTTAAGTTGTCAGTTTTACGATCAAAACTAATATGTCAACAAAGTATACGCAAATCATTGAATATTCTTACATAAAAATAATAAAGGCGTACAAAATAATGATATACTTTTAAACCATAAATCACAATAACAGTCTACCGCATTAAGAATGTAACAAAAGGGAATGTTGTAAAAAGTTACCTTATAAACTGTTGTTCTTTGTAACCTGTTTAGAATACCCGTGGTTTTATTAAAAATTCTGTAGGAAAAAATTTAAACGACCGCAATGTCCATTGTTTGGGGATTACGAAAATTCTATGTGGCTGTTACTAAGGGAATAAACAAGGTAAGCTCATCACGTTCTATGATAGGCATTAAATTCACCTTGCTTCGACAAAAGCGGAGGATAAAAGTTCTTATCAAAGCTCTTCAACGACCTCTAACCGCGTTTTATCGTTAAACGATTTTAACTTTCATTGATATTAGGGACAACACCAAATATTGCTTAAATTTTTGACACTTTCCATTTATACTAAGATGTCTTGTTTTATAAATATAAGAAGCTTTATAAAATGTCAATACCCTCTAATC